TCATGCCATTAAGTACCTACTCATTTTAGTGCTCAATGGAGCTAGAAAGTATCTGTGAAAGCATTTTCTACATTCTACATCAAGGCTTACTAAATTTCTTTACTAAGATAATTTAAAGTAACAAACAATTTTAAGTGCCTAAGTTTATCTAAATAAAAACTTAAAAATAATAACAATATTGAGGAGCGAGAGGTTGTCATAAAAAAAAGAAAAAAAAAAAAGTGAAAACTATTTTATATAAGCTAACGTTTCGACTCAACTATGCAGGTCTTCATTGGGACTATAAGAAAGAACACTATACAAAAGGTAGAGACAATTGTAGCAGTTAAGATATATAGATAAAAATTTAAGAAAATTATAAACAGTATAGATAACAAATATTAAGAACATTAAAATATAAACAGAATGAATGAAGTATTAATAACATTCAAATATAAAACAAAGTAACCAAAAACTGTAATAAAGTAAATAATAATTAGTAACAAAATATGTAGATAATAAAAATATATAAATGCAATAAAAAGGATGGATGATAAACTTAATCATGATATAATAGAAAAAGATAGAAAGGTAAGGGAATAAATTAAAAAGTATGGAGGAATGAATAAACAAGTGGAAGAAGACAAGGGTGGCCATCAACCCCAAGGTCGATGGCGCATGAACCTTCCACCATCCCTCCCAAGATATTTTATTGCCATCCTCATCTTAAAAACAGTGAAAAAAAAGTGTAATTTAAAAATTCGTAGATTAAATACAAATACACATCCTGAATTATTTTCCATGCTTCCATTTGTCTTTTGATTTGAAACTTTTCATTTCGAAAATTCTTAACCCCATCAAAATGTGCCCCCCTCAAAAATTCAAAACCCCGTCACAAAGTGCTGCCTCAAAAAATTTGATGGCGCACCTTGTGCATGAAATCCTCTTCTGGGCACCCCTGGATGAACTAATATGCATATACTTGAAGAAGGTTAAAAGAGTGATAAAGATTTACTTATGGCAAGAATATAGTTCAGTGAAGAAGATCTGCATTGTTGGGTTGAAACGTTGGCTTAAATAAAATAATTTTCACTTTTTTAATTTTTATGATACTACAGTATACTATTAAGTAAAGAAAGCAACAATAAAATATCTAATGAAAATGTAGAAACAGAGTACCAACTTGAGAAAAAAAATGTCTTTATTTAGAATATAAAAACTGTCTCTATTCTGCATACTGTAACATTCCATTTTTCATGGGGTTATTTTACCATGTTATATAAGACCTTAACTAGATCCAACAACTGTTACTGTCCTTTTGTTATAATAGATACAGATGATTGTAGAATCATAGCTTATAATTAAACATTCACTCACTACACCATATAAAGACTAAAAAAAGTAACAGGTTCTAAACAGTGAAAATCATAGTTTTTGAAAATCCTGGTCCTTGTCAGCAAGAAATTGATAAACTGACATAGAGTTTAAAATAATTGGTTAAAATTAATAAAAGTCGATAAAATAAACTTTTTTAAAAACTATTCATGATGTACATAAGATAAATAAAAACATAGTCATAACTTTTCCAACACTTCAAAAAATATAAAATTTATAATCAGAACTTACAAAAGGATTAGTTACTCATCCAATGAAATGTGGCTTGATCGTAGGTGACTCAGATATGACTTCTGCCATTTCAGAGAGAATCATCTTTATCATTCTGGAATTCTTTTATCAAATCCAGCTTCCATAATCGCTCCCTGTAAACAAAATAACTTTCAAAGAAATATAAAATAAGTAATTTAATTATAACAATAAAATCAGTCATATAATGGCAACAAAATAAAAGTAGATTCTATGCCATTTAGATTTTTACAAATATTAAAATTTTATAGAAATATCTTTTATGTTTTGAGGTATGAATATAAGTGAAAATGAATTTTATTTACCAATAAAAGTTAGCTTGTACTAAACTAACTATTTCATATTCTGTATCCTACATATTTAACAATCATAGGAACTTTGGAATCAACGTAGGAAACTAGGAATCAAAGCCAAAATATTAAATATTAAATTTCAAGGCATCTAATCAATTAAGCGTTAATCCATCCTAAATGTTAAGATTTATTTTACAATGGAATAATCTTAGAAAGCACAATCTTTGTCAAGTATATAAAAATAAAATAATATTAATCCAAATATAATCAAATTAAAATGGGTTATTTTTTCCAGAAGTATATTCAAGAAGGAAAGTATTGATTAAGTTTGAAAAAAATAATGTAGTTCCATTAAAATAAAATTCATAAGGACTGAATATGTTTTTGACAATGAAAAATAATCAATCATGATAGCATATAATCTTACCTCAGTTAAAAACACACTGAGTATCAAATACTGGCCATCAGAATTCCAGGGGGTTCAACCATCTGAAGTAATGATTTAACTACTAATAGTGATCAGCAATACTAGCAATTGACAAGTAACCACTATGGCAAATTCTTTGGAACTACATTTGCCTCAAAGCCTTCTAGAAAATCTTGGATTAATAAAGTTAAGAGTTCAGATCCTGCAGATCTTAACTCATAGCTTAAGATATTTCAGCATATTCTGGAGACTATTGGATAAATTTGGTTCCGGGGGTGTGAAATACTGGTAATCTGTCAATTATTAGTATTTTTATCCACAGTTAGAGTAAAATTCATAACTCAATAGTGGAAGTCAATATTTTTTGTTTGCCATAAAATTTCCATCTTATTACAGAACTTAATTATTAAACCCAAATATAATATGCTTATTAATAACAATAAATATATCAGATGTGGCTAACATAATATAGAAAATAAAGATATCTTGAAGAAGCAATAGTGACAAACTCAAATAGAATGATAGCGATGAAGAGATCGTTGACCATGATATAATATGAGAAGGAGTTGGTCAGGGGATGCGGTCAAATAAATACTAAATTTTTGAAAAAATAGTATTTTTAATTGTTACACCGATGTTTCGACCCACCCTGCAGATCTTCATCAGGGTGTGGCATCAGGCATTGCAGGAAGAAGTTGATAGACTGGCTTGGCCCTCTATTGGCCAATCTATCAACTGCTTCATATAGAATGAAGTCAACAGACTTCAACATAAGATTTGATTATGTACATTACATCAAATTTTCTAGATTCAATTCCTATTTTAAATGGGAATGTGGCACAACAAATCTCTATTATAAGGACTTTTAATATCTTGAAGAAACTATAAAATTTTGGTACCCAGAATAATTAAAAGATAGTACAATTTTGTTAAAATAACACACATGGTTATCAACTAAAATACAACATAAACCATTCATCAAGAATTAATAAATTCCTTCCTTATGAAGATAATAAGAAGACTATCATATAGTAAAACCTGTTAAAGAGATAATACATAATTATAAAATGTCACTATTAAAGTATGTAAAGTTATAAATTTTGTTATAACATTATATAAAATTATAAAATGTTGTTAGATAAGTAAGTCGAATCATACCGAACTTTGAATGTCTTTAAGGATCATTAATGACCTTTTGTAAATGACCAACAGGTTGCAAACGATCGCCATTTAACGTAGAAAATGGTCCAAAGGAAGCAAGCTTGAATATATGTATTTATGTGTTAAAATAAATACATATTCAAAATTTATATTTAAAACCTATGTTAATTAAAATTTTAAAAGATAGATTTTAACATATACAAGATATGGTATTGTTTTTCATTATTTTTCCCCAAAATAAATCTTACAGCAAACGATTTATACAATTATGAAATCCAGATTTTTTAGTTATTTAGATTTAATAAAATAGTTAATTAATGTAGAATGGTCTTAAGTATATATTTTTTCTGAATAAATAACACCTTTCATGTTATTTACTTCATTACTACTGCAGGAGGCTGTGGTTTTTTTCAAAAATCTTCCTGATGTTTTGTACTACGCTAATAAAATCGGCCAAAGTTTTAATTTTAAAAGAGATTTAAAACTGGTCTTAGAAATCTTATTTAGTAATATTAAATATCGATTCTATACCATATTTTTCCCCCATAATAAAGATTCAATTTTTTATTATTTACTCCTAAAGGAAATTTGAACAAAAAAAGGTAATCCACATATTGTTGAATGATAATGCTGTTAATAAAATGTAATATTGGCAGATATAATAGAATTACAGTAGTAATTATAAAAACACTTCCTATAATCTTGAAAATTACAATAATTAAAAATGTATCAATTCTTAACTATTAAGCAATCACCACCTTGGGTTTGGTTAATAGTGTTTGTGTGATTTCAAGAATTCAAATTTTTTTTTCATATTTTAAAATCTGACTACACACCTGCTAACAACAGAATATAATATTACTTTATTTCATTAAAATAATATTCAGTGGTATTATGTAGATTAAAAACATCATTCTTAATGGAATAAAGTTTGGATTATAAATAATGTGAAACTTTCCTTGGCCTAATGGAAATTTTGCATGAAGTAATTTTCTGTCTTGTAAAATGTAATTTAATTACCAAAGATTCTTATGTATTCATCATATGTAGGCTTTATTCACACATCATATATTTTCTTTTCTTTTACATACATTTATTTCTAAGACTCCACTAAATCTAATTTAACCAGTCATATAACTAGGTAACATTTTTCAGAACTATTCATAATAAAACATTATGTTTATGTATTTTTTGTATTTTTTAAAATCTTTTTTACAGGAACCATTTATTTGAAATAAAATATTGGAAGTAAATGAGATTTCTTTATAATAGGGATGATGAAATGAACATTTGAACTTGACTGATTTTTTTAAGAGCCCTCAAATAGTTCTATAATCTACTAGTTACATCATTTCAAGATTGATATTATTATAAAATAACGTTATGTAAGTAAACATTTCCATTTATCAGTACTTCACATTTGTCATATATATAATACATGTTCAAGCAGATGATTGGTTGGGGTTAGAGTCTCTTGATAGAACAAACATTCATTAATGTTTAAGGTTTGCGGATATTTTGGCCCAAGTTTTAGGGCTTCATCAGAACTAAGAAAAAAATACACTACAATAATTGAGATGACTAGTAAATACAATATTATTATTCTTATGTATAGAAACAAGGTTGTTTATCTCATATTTGTTTTTTTTAAGGCCTGATGAAGGTCTACAACTTAGATCAAAACATTAACAGTAAATTTAGTTACTTAGTATTTTATTTCTGACAATACCCTCATCCACTATTTTTTTAAATTTTATTAACAGTGAACTATATTGATGGAAAAAAGAACAACCATTTTATGCCCACCTTTTTGTAAATTTCATTTTTTCAGCTTAAGTACCTTGAACTATTGGTGAACTATTGTTGCACTAATATTTTTGTCCTATTGTGAATTAAAAAGTTTTATTTTTGATAATTTTAAATCTTTGGATCAAAGCAAAAGACTTAAGCTAGAGTTGTTCTTAGAATAACAAGGCAATTTCTTAACTTGAATAATAAATTTATTGATTATAATAATTCAATTTACTGCATTTTTGTATTTTACAACAACTTCCAGCTTTTAAACTTCATAAACTTGTATTTAAAAAACAAATCTTGAATATACAATGCTTTTGCTTTTAACCATCGGTATCTCCATTAACCCTTCAACGATGGTGGACTCATATTTGAGTTGATAGAGACCTGGACCCAGGTGATGGTGAATTCACATATGAGTTGAGATGAGACTATGCCCTGGTGACGGTAGACTCACATATGAGTCGGGAATGGTACTTTCTCATTAAATAACGGGTGCTCAGTGATGAATTCTACTTTCAAATTAACTCGTGGTGTTTCTATGAGGCAGTAGGTAGTTTTTCTGTGACTAGAGATTATGAGCATTTTGGAACGATGCCCAGTGATCAGTGATCAGCAGAAGTGATGAAAAGAATATGGACACAGAAAAATGTTGGCTAGTACCGTCCTCAAGGCTGCTCCATCCTTCCAGGCGAGGCAGGAAGAATAAAATAAGAATACTTTATAAATGTGCACTTGAACATAGCTTAGTGTGTGGATGGCTTAACTATCACTTGAACCTGTTTTAGTTGAGGTAAAGTTGGCATAAGAATTGGCCTTACGACAACCAATCATTATATCATGGTTAGAGGATTTTGTTTATATTTGTTTGGCTTCATACTAGTTGATATAGTTAATCTGTCCAACGTGATTACTTTATTTTGTAGTTCTAGCCCAACACATGTTTAAACTGAAATGCCACACTTCACAGTGCTCGCCTCTTAAGTCTGTTAATATGTCCATAAAAAATATGGCAAGTAGTTTTGCATCTGCTTTAATAGTTGACAAACCACTGCTTCATTTTTAATTCTTTAAACATTCTATTACAGATTGAAATAAAAAATAGCAAATTGCATTTCGCAATAAATACATGAATATAAGAATCTTTACTTACATACTTTTGTATTATATTATATTTTCTACTCTACCTATAAAAACTAGTTTGATCATAAAAAAGCTTCCACTCACCTGGTTTCCCTCAACTAAATAGCTTCTAATATTTATCTTCATTCTGTTTTGTCCAAGACTTGTTCTTCCTTAATTTAATGTTATTCAAGGGTTTCTTCTCCTCAACTTTCTACTGTAGTTATTTTGTAGGGATAATGAAATGAGTTGGTGCAAAAAAAGTGCCATTTGAGGTTCTCATCTTTTTCTCCCATTCCCCCCATTTCCAGTAGGTTTTTAAGGTTTTGTACAGCTCTACAGGCCCTCAAAATTGAGTTAGATTAAAGGGTTCAAAATTTGTATATGAATGGAGTTTCTGACATATATGTGCATTTTAGGGACCAGTCATTCATCCCATACTGATCTATTAAATTTTGTAACAAATTACAAAATCTTTAGAAAGAAAACAGCAGAAAGAAATTCAGGAGTTCAATTGAAGTATTATATATCAATTGATTTGAAAATTCTATTCCATTACATCGTCTAAGTATTAAAAAAACAATTAAGTCTCTTTCTAAACAAAAATTAGTGGAAAATGTGACCTAAGTGATTTTAAGTGAAGAAAACAAAAAAGAAAGCACTGTGAGAACGGCAAATGCAGTGAGAGCAGTGGCTACTCAAATCAGAAGAAATCCCATTCCAAAATAACAAATCATATCTCGGGAAATGGGAATCTCAAACGGTGGACATTTTGAGTAATTTCTTTTTTATTTTACTCTCTATAGATAGACATTTTATTTTCTAACTAGCTTTACCCGGCCATGCGCTGCTGTGGCTTAGCCTGGCAAAATGAAAAAGAAAGAAAATAGAAAGCACATATGAGTAGATTAGTAGCAAAGGACATCTGTCATTTTTAAAAAGTTGGGAAACAAATTTGTCTGTAAAATGGCTTCAATTTAAACTAATTCTAATGATTTTTTTTCTCATGATTCAAATTGAACATTCATAATCATCTGAGTGAATACGCCGTCATTCATAATCATCAGAAACAGTTTGAGTTGAACTTAAATTTTGTAACAAATTACAAAATCATTAGAAAGAAAACAGGAGAAAGAAATTCAGGAGTTCAATTGAAGTATTATATATCAATTGATTTGAAAATTCTATTCCATTACATCGTCTAACCATTAAAAAAACAATTAATTCTCTTTCTAAACAAAATTTAGTGGAAAATATGACCTAAGTGATTTTAAGTGAAGAAAGCAATCCTGCTGGTGCTAATAATTGTTTTTTATTATTGATTTATACCTAGTTCTGCCATAAATACTGTTACAACAATTGAGCTTTGCTTATATTCTTGGGTATTATTTAGATAATTCTTACCTCTATCAGATTATTTTCTTTACATGTTAGGATAATAATCCCAATTAGTTTGTATTTTTCATTCGCTCAGTTACCATGGAGTGGGGTGATAAAGAAAACCGAATAGCTGTGATAGCCTGAATAGCCTTGCACAAAGTTGGAAAATGCAGGTTAGAGATTTTCAACACTTAGAAACCTTTGGGTATCAGCCATATATTCCTGTACCACATTATAAATAGGTATAATGAGACCCTATCTATATATGACAGACCTCGACCCTGCACTGTGAGAACGGCAAATGCAGTGAGAGCAGTGGCAACTCAAATCAGAAGAAATCCCATTCCAAAATAACAAATCATATCTCGGGAAATGGGAATCTCAAACGGTGGACATTTTGAGTAATTTCGTTTTTGTTTTACTCTCTATAGATATACATTTTATTTTCTAACTAGCTTTACCCGGCCACGCGCTGCTGTGGCTTAGCCTGGCAAAATGAAAAAGAAAGAAAATAGAAAGCACATATGAGTAGATTAGTAGCAAAGGACATCTGTCATTTTTAAAAAGTTGGGAAACAAATTTGTCTGTAAAATGGCTTCAATTTAAACTAATTCTAATGATTTTTTTTCTCATGATTCAAATTGAACATTCATAATCATCTGAGTGAATACGCCGTCATTCATAATCATCAGAAACAGTCTGAGTTGAATTTATAAAACTAAATTAAAAAAAAAAACGTATAATAGTACTGACCTAGAAAAGGAGAATCATATAAATTCTTCAAATGAAAATTTCAATTACTGTAGTAATTATAAAATTTTTGATTAATCAATAAAAAAAAATGCTTGCCGCCCTTCGGTAGTGAGGAAGCAAAAGGAAACGGCCTTTTCTGAAGAGAAAGCAGTAAATGTTTAAAACTCTATAACTCTGCAACCAACCGTCCGATTTCGATGATTTTTTTTTTTTATTTTGTCGGCAAATCAGGAAATCTTTCAAATAAATATGGGTATTATCAAAAATTGTGTACTTTTTTAGTTATCGGCCAATAGAATATTGAATTCATCGTAACATTTTTCAGCTTATTTTCGGGAAAGTATGTTATACACATAAATTAATAGAGTTTCAAGGGGAAGACTTTAGCTAAGTTTCGTTAAAATCGGTAAAGCCGTTTTGGCGCTACAGTTTATAGCGACACATTTTTTTGCGGCTTTGAACAGAAAAACATTTACATTTTTATTTTTTTTACATATATAAAATTATCATAAGACAGAAGTACTATGCCTGAAACCTTCCCAGGAGTGTACGGAACAATTTCCCAAAGTTTCATAGTGAGGTTGAATGGTTTAGTAATGTACTAAGGGCAAACAGACCGAGAGACAGACATACATTCATTTTTATATATATAGATAATGTTTTTGAAAAAGTTTTCCTGATGAAATCTGTATATATTTCCTTGTAAAAATATTTATGACAGGACTAGATTGATTAGTAATTTAAGTAGTTTTTTTTTTTTTTAATTCTTTCAAAGAAATTTTAACATATATATCATAAATTAAAAAAATAAATAAATTGATGTCTCATCTTAACTTCTTTTTTCCAAAGCATTTCTTAGAATTAGATAGAATAGAAAATCTTTAAATTTATATCAAGTATGGTACCAAGCTAACCATGCTAAAGGTACATTATTAATATTACAAAAATATACACTTTTTTACAATTTTGAGGTTAGATGTTAAAATCATTATAAAATCAATGATTATTGAAGTTAACAAGTAATCAAAGAAGCATAATAAAACATGAACCTCACATTCAGATGGGGAAAAGAATGATGAACAGACATTTTCATCTTCAGATCAGGTTTTTTGCCTGAACCAAATCTATGCTTAAGTATTTAAAAACTGTGACATTATCAGTAATTACCTAATAACGATTATTATTGATAATTTTACAACTTATTCAGTACTGTGGTGTAGCTTTTATTCAGGAACCTCATCTTCAGAGTTTCATTTTAAGAGATATTAAGGCAAATATTTCATGAGCTATTAATACTGCCTTAATAGATTGAGAGTTTCGCTATTGTCATTTATCTCCAATTTACAAAGAAGGATTTATTTATTTTTTCTACAAATATACAGATCATTTGTAATTTCCATTTAAACATTGTTGATGTTTCTAAGAAATATAGACATAATTTCTCAATTAGGTTTAAAAACTTCTGTTGTTTTATTATCGAAACCCACAGACTTAATTTTTCAAATGTTGCCTAAACCAGTTGATCTAATTTTATT